TCCCTCTCCCTTCCTCTCTTTCTAAAATTCATTTAAAAAAAATATATTTTTTAATGCACCTGGACCTTCCCAAGCCTGAGATAATATAATCCCAGTTAACAAAACCCCTTTTTCTCTCTCACTCTGTAACTGGTGCTCATCCATTTGTTCGCATGTTTTCTTTATAGTGGCCATGTGACCCTAGCAGCCTCCTGGGGCCTACAGACACCACACAGGTTCCAAGTGAGGGCCTGGGCCCAGTGCCAGCCAGAGCACAGACTACGCTGGGTGGCCGGGGAGAAAGACTGGACTAGCTTTGGCATGGAATCTCTGGACACTGGCCCTATTTTGGGGCCTGATGAAGGCAAGCTGGGACTTTTCCCGTGGCGGGACGGATGGAGATGGGACATTGGAAACTCAGGGAAATTCCTTTGATTTTGCATCTGGTGCCACAAGTAAATCTTACCACCTCCTTCCCCACCCCCTCCCCATGAGTCTCCTGGAATGCTTTCCTGCGACACTGAAACCCCACTTCCACCAGCCACAAAAGGAGGAACTGATCTACAACAATCAGATGTCCTGCATTAGAAATAATCTATCTATCTATATATATAAAGCCAGTGACCAGAATGCCGTAATGACCAGAACGACCGGTCACTATGACGCCCACTGCGGCCAGGGAACCTGCCCGATGGATGGGGTGGGGCCGCAGCCAAACTCCCACGGCCCCGCCCCCCAGCCAGCCCACCCCTGATCGGCCTCTCCCACCCTGATTGAGGGTGGGGTGGCCAGCCAACCCTCCCATAGCCCTTCCCCCCAGCCCGCCCCGCCCTGATCGGCCTGCACCACTCTCACCTGACGGCTCCACCTCTGATTTCACTCCCCACCCCAATAGGGGGCAGGGCCGGCTGGCCAACCTCCTGCAGCCGCTCCCCCCACCTGGCCCCAACCCAGATCAGCCCCCTCACCCCGATCAGGGGCAGGGCTGGCCAGCAACCGCCTGTGGCACCTCCCCGCGGCTAGCCCCATCCCCAATGGGCCCCCACCACCCCGATTGCCCCGCAGCCCCTCACATCAGTCAGCTCTGCCCCTGATCAGCCCCCCACTCCCATCAGGGGCAGGGCCAGCCGGCCAACCACCCATGGCCCCTCCCCCAGGCTGCTGGCCCCCAATCAACCCCTCCACTGCAATCAGGGGTGGGGCTGGATGGCCAACCTCTCATGGCCCCTCCCCCTGGCCGCTGACCCCCGATTGGCCCCCCACCTCATTTGGGGGTGGGGCCGGCCAGCCCACTGCCCACAGCCCCTTCCTAAGGCCGGCCCCACCCCCAGTCAGCCCTCCAACTCCAATTGGGGGCAGGGCCCACTGGCCAATCACCCTCAGCCCCTCCCCCCAGCTGGCCCGGCCATGATTGGGCCCCGATGGGAGCGGGCTGGCTGGCCAACCTCCAGCCGTCTCCTCCTCCCTACAGGCTCTGCCCTGATCCACTCCAAGTGGGGCTGGGCAAGCCAACCCCACCCATGCATGAATTCGTGCACTGGGCCTCTAGTACTAGATAATGGAAACAGCCCTAAAGATTCACCAAAAAACTATTAGAATTAATAAATAAATTCAGTAAAATAGCAGAATACAAAATTAATATTCAGAAATTTGTTCTATTTTATACACCAATTAATGACCTATCAGAAAGAAGAATTAATAAAATAATTCCACTTACAATTGCATTAAAATGAATAAAATATCTACGAATAAATTTAACCAAAATGATAAAAGACCTATACTTGGAAAATTATAAGACTTTGAGGAAAGAAATGAAGAAGATACAAATAAATGGAAACATAAGCTGTGCTTATGGATAGGAAAAATTAACATTATTATAATGCCCATACTACCCAAAGTAATCTACAGATTCAAGGTAATCTCTACCAAAATACCAGTGGCATCTTTCACAGAACAAATAATCCAAAAATTTATAGGGAACCACAAAAGAACCCCAAAAAGCCAAAGCAATATTGAGAAAGAAGAACAAAATTGGAGCTACCTGATATCAAACTATACTACAAGACTATATAGTAAGCAAACAGCATGGTACTGACATAAAAACAGACACACAGATCAGTGAAAGATAAAAGAAAGCCCAGAAATAAACTCATGCTTATGTGGTCAACTAATCAATGTCAAAGGAGGCCAGAATATACAATGGGTTAAAGACAGTCTCTTTAATAAATGTATTGGGAAAAACTGGACAGATACATGCAAAAAGAAAAAATTAAACCAGACCACTGTCTTACACTATATACAAGAATAAACTCAAAGTGGATGAAAGACTTAAATGTAAGACCTGAAATCATAAAATTCCTGGAAGAAAACACAGGCAGTAAACTCTTTGACATCATTCTGAGCAATATTTTTTGTTTGTCTCTAGGCAAGGGAAACAAAAGATAAAATAAACACATGGGATTACATCAAACTAAAAGGTTTTGCCCTAGCCGGTTTGGCTCAGTGGATAGAGCATTGGCCTGCGGAATCCCAGGTTTGATTCCAGTCAAGGGCATGTACCTCGGTTGCAGGCTTAATCCCTGGCCCCAGTCTGGTTGGGTTTGGGAGGCAACCAATCGATGTGTCTCTCTCACATTGATGTTTCTATCTGTCTCTCCCCCTCCTTTCCACTCTCTCTAAAAAATAAAATAAAATAAAAAATAATCCTTAGGTGAGGATTAACAACAACAGTCATGGAGATGTAAAGTACAGCATAGGAAATATAGTTACTAATAATGTAATAACTATGTGTGGTGTCAGATGGATACTAGACTTATTGTGGTAGTGTTTTGCAAGGTATATAAATGTCTAACTACTATGTTGTACACCTGAAAGTAATACAATATTGTGTGTCAACTGTAATTGAAAAATAAATTTTTTTAAAAAAAGGGAATTCTGCCCTGGCCGGTTTGGCTCAGTGGATAGAGCGTCGGCCTGTGGACTGAAGGGTCCCAGGTTCGATTCCGGTCAAGGGCACGTACCCGGGTTGCGGGCTCAATCCCCAGTGGGGGGCGTGCAGGAGGCAGCCGATTGATGGTTCTCTCTCATCATTGATGTTTCTATCTCTCCCTCTCCCTTCCTCTCTGAAATCAATAAAATATTTAAAAAAATAAAAAGAAAAAAAAAAGGGAATTCTGACCCATGCTACATCATGGATGAACCTTGAGGACGTGTGCTCAGGGAAATAAGCCAAATAGTAGTACAGCAAAGGAAATACAGAGTAGTCAAATTCATAGAGACAGAAAGTAGAATGGTGGTTGTCAGGAGCTGGGGTGGAGGGGGAATGTGGCATTACTGTTTACTGGATATAGTTTCTGTTTTACACAATGAAAAGAGTGCTAGAAATGGCTGGTGGTGATTTTTGCACAACAATGTGAATGTACTTAATACCTCTGAATGTGTACTTTAAAAAATAGTGAAGATGTTAAATTTTATGCATATTTCACTACAGTAAAAAATTTAAAAAATTTTAGATATTAGAAATTGGAGCCAGAGAAGTGGCCCAAAATGTGCTTCTGAGTCCACTCCCTGTATGCTTAGCAGCAACCCACATTTACAGTTGAACTTTGAACAATGCAGAGGAGGGGAGTAGGCATGCCTCCCCTCTCCCTCACACAATTAGAAATCCATGTGTAACTTTGACTCCCCCAAAACTTTATAGCTAATAGCTGTGGGGATGTAAAAAAAATATTCCCCCCACCTTTTAAGTTCTTTTCTCTGGGTTCATAATCAAATCAAGACAGATTAATAGAACATATCCAAAATTTATTACGATTGTACATGTGGGGGTGCTATAAGAATCTAAGTCCTGATTTACATGACATTTTGAACAAAGGAGAAGGGGGACAGGGGTCTAGGATTTCAAAGGGAAAGTGGGCAATTCACAGGTAGATGAGAAAAGAGTAACAGGTAATGAACAAATTTTTGCTGGGCCACCCATAAACAATGGTTCACAGAGGAAGTTCAGGAAGCAGGCTCTGCTGGACTTCTCCCTGTCTGCCACGTTTCCTTTATGTGATGCTAGGATGATGTTCCCTTCCTTTAAGCAGTTTTTTTCTATCTAAATTCCTTTAGGCACATAAGGGGGAAGGTCCAAGTTCTTTTCTGAGTCTTTTGCTTCTTAATAAAGAGCCTAAAGCCTGGCTGGCGTGGCCCAGTGATTGAGTGTTGACCTATGAACCAGGAGGTCATGGTTCGATTCCAGGTCGGGGCACATGCCCGGGTTAGGGGCTCCATCGCCAGTGTGGGGCATGCAGGAGGCAGCTGATCAATGATTCTCTCTCATCACTGATGTTTCTATCTCTCTCTCCCTCTCCCTTCCTCTCTGAAATCAATAAAAATATATTTTAAAAAATAATAAATAAACAGCCTAAAATACATTTTCCAAAAGGCATAGTATTTTGCAAAAGTTTGGTCCCCCTCACTGCCCACTGTTGACTAGAAGCCTTGCCAATAACAAAAACAGCCGATTAACACATTTTTGTGTGTTATATGTATTATGTATTATTATATTCTTACAATAACATAAGCTAGAGAAAAGAAAATGTTATTAAGAAAACCAGGAGGAAAACACATTTACAGAATTTATTGAAAAAAATCCATGGATAAGTGGACCTGCACAGTTCAAACCTGGGTGGTTCAAGAGTGAATGGTATTTATTAATCACACTTATTATTCTTTTAACTTTCCTGCATATGGCTGTATCCATTCCCTCCTCCTGAGCAGTTCTCCTGCTTATTCTGGTTCCAGCTACATATCTTGGGGCAGGATCCAGACCAAACACTTAATCTCACTTGTAGAAGCTTCCAAAGCCTCCTGGGAGACACAAGATCACCGGTTTCACTACCTGTACCCTGAAATGTAATCGTTCACTATTCTAGCACATTCTCAACATCAAGTATCTTAAACCAGTAAAAGATGGTTTAAATAAATTATTTTTATAATTGTACAGGAAACAAAAAAAACTCTTCACTTAAACTTACCTATAATGTCATCTCCGTTCATCTTTACTGTTGTCACTGTTCCAAACACTTGAAAAGATGTGTGTTCTTTGCTTGTTGAATTGCAGGGTCCTCGATACAACTTATTAGGCAAGCTCACTAGCTTTCAGGCTACTTGCACTATCAATTTCTTTTTTTAAAAAAATATGTTTTTATTGATTTCAGAGAGGGAGAGAGAGAAACATCGATGAAGGAGAATCATTGATCGGCTGCCTCCTGTACGCCCACTACTGGGGATTGAGCCCAAAAGCCAGACATGTGCCCTGACCTGGAATCAAACTATGACCTCTTGGTTCATAGGTCAACAATCAACCACTGAGCAACACCGGCCAGGTTGCGTTATCAATTTCTAATGGAGTTATGTTTAAAATCTCAATTTTTCTTTTACTTTTATTAGTTTGTTATGTTACTCATGATTGTTTATGTTCTTGGTGAATTGTCCTTTAAAAAATGACCCTCATGATCATGGTATCTCCCCTGTCAGGTAAGTAGTCACCCTGTTTCAGAGGTCCCAGGAGATCTCAAAAGGCTAATTTTTTTTTAGTCTCCCACCTCCTGGGTTAAGGTCCACCCGTCACGCTCCTGCACCAAACGGCCAGCTGTAATTTTAAGAAAAGGAGAATTGAGAAAACAGGAAACCGACTTTTTTGGGAGTGTAAGTACAAACAGGAAAAGGAAAATGATGACATTTGGTTGATCATTTAATTGTAAAAGGAAAAATAATCTCTATGGGTAACGAAAAATTTCAAAATTTAGAAATGCATGTAAACCTAAAACTGCTCTTAAAAAAATAAAGTCCTTGCCCAGCTGGTGTGGCTCACTGGTTGAGTGTCAACCTATGAACCAAGAGGTCACGGTTCAATTCCTGGTCCAGGTACATGCCTGGGTTTCAGGCTCGATCCCCAGTGTAGGGTGTGCAGAGGCAGTCGCTCAATGATTCTCTCTCATTATTGATGTTACTATCTCTCCCTCTCCCTTCCTCTCTGAAATCAATAAGAATAAACTACCTCTTGACGGCAGAAAACAAACAAACAAATTAATTAATTAATTAAAGTCCTTAAAAAAAATGCATAGCTCTGGCTGGTTAAATAAGTATGCCGGCTTGTTCTTGTGGCATACATATGAGATATTTTTAAATAGAAAAATGTGAATTACTATGGTTTTGGGTGATGTGCTATTTTCCATATTAAAAACAGCACAGCAATAACCATAAACAACTAGTTGAATGGCAATAATTCACCTCCCAATGATTTCATATGATGTGTGAAGCAGCTTAAGTCAAATGAATCAACACATGTCTTCTAATATAAAAAATATGAAAAAAAATCACATTTAATGTTTTGCATATACTTTCTAAAAACAGAACCCAAGAGTAAAGAAATGCTCATGAACAAGAAAATCCTTATAAGGATTAAATAAATTCTCGTTTACTTAATCAAATCCGCTCTCCATAAAAACAAATGAGACATCATAAATTTAGTCTAAGAAAGCAGAACCAGGGGATTTTATAGCTAGAGAGCCACTTGAAAATCATCTGGATCCAAGCTCTCACTTTACGGATGAAACAGAACTGAAAGTCAGGGGACTCGCCTAAAGCCAAGGGTACCCCAGTACACAGCAGAGTCTGGACTGGGAGACACAGTCCTGATGTGCAGGATAGCCTCCCACCACAGCACTATACTGGTTCCCAGACTTACACTGGCCTTTCTCTTGGCAGGTTCTTTTTCTCTTTAACTTAGCAGTACTACGAACAAGAAAATGCATGACTGGATCAGCCGTTAGTGGTTCACAAGATTGTTTTTCCAGAGTACCTGCAGTTGGCAAAAGTAACTGTTGATTTTATTAATAGCAGTCCATATGACAAGAATACATTCAGGAGCTCAGGAGCCAGAAATAAAACCTCTTTTCAGAGCAAAAGATCATCGCTGTCACAGAAGCACCTGCCCTGTGCCTAGGGGTACTAGGATATTGGGTACTTTACAGCTTCAGTTCTGTAATGATAAGTTACCATCACAGTAAGTCTTAGGCTCACTCATAAAAAGCCCCCAGTTCTTGTCAAGCAACACTCAACGGTGCTTGTAACACTGCGTGTAATTAGCCACAGAATCATCTACACTCTTGGACTCTATATCCTGACCTCTCACACACTGACTAAGCCCAATCCAATCTGCTTTTTTGCCTCCATCACTCCACTGAAGCAGCCTTACTAAGGTCAACAATAAACCGTCAATACAACTGCTATTTTTCTGTCCATGTCTACCTTGATTTCTCAGCAATATTACCACAGTTGTCTACCCTCGCTCCCATTACATCATCATCCTCACTTTCCCTCTACCCTTCTCTTCCTTTTCAATTTCCTTTGCAGAATTATCTTCCTCTACCAGTATATGCTGGAGTTCCTCAAGGTTCAGTAGACTTTTTGCTTTATACCAAGCTCATCCTGGTCTATGCTTTCATCCTTATTGGGTATACTCCAGTAACTCTCCAAGTTTTATCTCCACTCTAAGTCAAACATTTCCCAACTCCTACATCTGTATATCTGATTATTTGGTTAACATCTTTAATCGGAGGCCTGAAATCAAGATAGCTGTGTCTGACTCATCACCTTCCTCCACCCTTGTGTTTCCTAAGAGAATGGCCCCATTCTCTATCCGCCTGGGCAGATCAGACACGTGATTATTGACTTCCCCTTATTTTTTTTTCATTTCAGTTCATCTCAAGT